CAGATATACTTCCGATCCTGCATCACTTGAGACAACACCCCCCGTGCGCGCCATTGCCTCAGGGCAACGTCAACATTGTACATCCCCCGGCATCCATCCTCACAAATGGGAAGCCCAGTCCCCACACTAAATATGCGCCCTCGTATACGGAAAAGGGGTGGGGTCCTCTTTAACTGACTATCAGATGTTCAGCTAGCGAGACCGGTAAGTCCTGAAGGGAAACCCGTCCGTTCTTAGTCCCAGCTTCCTGTTTCTTTCCGGACATTTCTTTGCCCTGTGTGATATTGCTGGTGGACCGTTGTCAAAAACACCGCCAAATTCCCTCTTCCTGCCTTTCCCCCTCATGATTCGCCCGAGCTGGAAGAGACAAAGAAAAGAAATAAGAAAACCCGAGAGCAGACTGGGTTGCCCCTAGTAAAACAAAACTGCCCTCCCCTTCTGTTGTGCGCTCGCAAGGCGTGACCTGGCTCTGTGCATCGTGTGTTTGGGTCCTCTGCAACTGTGTACGTGGCGAAACCACCAATGTGCAGGAAGAGACGGAAGGCCGAGGCCAAATCGGGCATGAGATCCTCCCATCGGCGCCAGTGCAGAGACACAATCATTGATGCCTTGCGTCTGCCAACGCCCTGCATTCTTGTCTGCCCGTGGCAGATATCCTCCACACAAACTTGATGTCCGAGAACCAAGAACAAAAAAAAAGAGCATCGTGTTTGGTGGTGCGCCGTTTCCGTGTGTTCCCTTTTTTTGTATGCCGTGTGGCGACGGCTAGTATAACCCCAAATTCCCCAACTCCAGAAGTATCATACAGTGTCGCGTCGTCAGGGAAATATCGAGAAAGGGTTGCGGCACGAAAGAAATAGGCGCCAGGCTGGTCTCGAGCTGGTCGTATGGATTTCGTCCCGGCATCTGCGAGCTTTCCGTCTCTACCAACTCCCGCGGCTGGTGGATGGCGAGCTGGGATTCGAGGTCGTCAGGTAGTTGAGGGCCAGTTCAGCAGCATCTTCCTTTGCGTTGTTCAGGTTCTTGCCGTCGTACCAGAATCTTGCCGAATGGGTTCGGCCGTGAACTGTCACTCTGCTGGACCAGGCAGTACGCCCTCCTGGTTGCGGCATAAGTCATTAGCAACGGGCACCCTCGAGCTATTCAGGTGCAGTTGGTCCTTACCACGGCGATCAGACACGATTTGGAAGACAGGTGGCATGATATTCGCCTCGCGACAAGCATCTGCCAGCTCTTGGTCAGCGCTTGACTTGGAAAGGCAAAGTGATGGGTCGACACTGGGGAACGGCGTACCTTCCAAGCGATCCTGCCAGGGACCGCATGGGCTGTTATATGAAGAAGTCGACATGACGTGTGTTGAATGGACCGCAGGGGTGTTCTCTCAAGGACGTTGCAATCTGAGCGAGAGATGCTGGTGGGAAATGGTACAGCGTCGACAGGATAGGATGGTGGGTGGATCTGGTGACGAGACTAAGACGAAAGATGTCGAGTCTCAAGAATTGGGAAGCGAGATTGTGGTCGATTTCTGTTTCTCTTATACTTGATCAAGGCAAGCAGCAAAGGGAAGGGGGACAGTTGTCATTGGGCTCGGGAAACAATTCTGTGGCATATACGGACGAGCTGTCGT